ATGGTTTCTTTGCTGCTGTATAATCATTTAAGGGCCTGCCTTTTCCACCACACTGTAAATTACATGAAGGCTGGGATGGTGCCTTTCTTGTCCCCTTCTGTCTTCAGGGCCTGGTATTGGCATATAGGCCGGGGAGCTGGAGAATGCCTGGTGGGCTTAGTGGTGGGAAGGAAAGTCAAGGTAGGGAGGAACTGGGGACGAGACTGGTGGTGCAGGCAGGATCAAGAACACCAAGTAAAGGAGTTCAAATTTGGTTCTCAGGCATTGTATGGCATGAAAAGTTTAAACAGGTTTTGGGAACACTAGTTTGTTTTGATAACATTTAATGTCCTAGAAATCATTAATTAGATAGTTTGAGTAACACCCTCAAGCATGGTGGATTTAATTTTTAAACTGTGAAAGTAATATGAAGTATGAAATTTTGATCTTAATGGTAAAAAAGTTAAATATGTACGTAAGTGTCTGCAGCAATAAGTCAAAGTTCCCTCTTTCCTAACTCTGAATCCTACTTTGAAGCAGTAACTCAAGCTGAGGTTTTTGTATATGTGCATGCATAAGCTTTTATGAGCATTTCTAGGTGTTTTTCTGTCTTAATGTAGATAAGGTCATACTACTTTTTAAAAAAGTATTTATTTATTTATTTTGGAGAGAGGGTGGGTAAGTGGGGAGAGGGAGGTGGGCAGAGAGAGAAAAACTCAGGCAGACTCCCTGCTGAACGGGGAGCCCGACGTGGGGCTCAGTCTCACACCCATGAGATCACAGCCAGAGCCAAAACCAAGAGTCAGACGCTCAACCAACTGAGCCACCCAGGCACCCCCACATATGACTCTTAAACAAAAAGACAACCCAATTTAAAAATGTACAAAGTGTTTGAATAGACATTTCTCTGAAATGGCCAATAAGCACATGAAAACCTGTTCATCACGATTAATCATAGGAAAATTCAATCAAAGCCTCAGTGAGATACTACTTTAAACCACTGGGGTGGCTGCAGTAGAAGATTATCAAGTGCTGGCAAAGATTTGGAGAAACGAGAACCTTTATACACTGCTCATGAGAATGTAAAATAGTGCAGCCACTTTGGAAAACAGTTTGGCAGTTCTTCAAAAGGTTAAATATAATGTTACCATGTGACCCTGTGATCTCACTCCTGGTTATATATCCAAAATATATATGTCCACTCAAAAATTTGTACACAGATGTTCATAGGAGCATTTTTGATAGTAGCCAAAAAATTAAAAACAATCTAAATGTCCATCAGCTGATGAATGGATTAAAAAAATGTGGTATATCCATACAAAGGAATAATATTTAGCAATCAGAGGGTAATACTGATACATATAAAAAAAGGTAAGGTCATACTATATATATCATACTATATATATTCTCCTACAATTCGCTTTCCCCCAAAGTGCGCACTATATTTGATGTATTCTTAGAGTGTAGGAGTTACCTTCCTAAACCCAGTCCTCATTCCCCGGCATAGAGCCAAGGCATTTGGAACTCTGTGCTGAGTCCCGAAAGGTCCTGCAGGAACAGGCCAGGCCTTCCACTGGACTTCATGCTGTCATTATCTGCCACTTGCTTTTTGTCTTCAGTTTTCACCTCATGGACTCAGTTTCTAGAACATGGGAAATACCTTCTGAATTTGGGTTTTTGTTCATGTTGTTCCTTCTGTTTAGACTTCTTTCACCCTAATCTTCCCATGGCAGTGGTTGTTCTCTTCAGGCTTTAGTTTACATTTTTACTTTAGAAGGACCCTTTCATTTTTTTTCTTTATTTAAAAAAAGTATCAAGTAATCTCTGCCTCCAACGTGGGGATCAAGCTCACAACCCCAAGATCAAGAGTCACATGTTGTACTGATGGAGCCAGCCAGGTAGGTGCCCCCAGAAGGACTCTTTCTTAGTAGTGTATTTACAACATGTTCTGTCTGTCTTCCTCTGTACCTTTTGTTTCCATGTAACATTTATATCAATTCTCAATTGATTTGTTTGCTCTCTTTCCGTTTCCCTTACTAAAGAAGGCTGTAAGTTCCACGAGTGCAAGAACTATTTCATGTAGTATTATATATGGTCAACCTCATCTTTTTAAAGACTATGGCATATTCCATTTCATGTATGTATCCTTTTGGTACCAGTACCTTATTGAAGGCCTTTAAAATTGTTTTTCTGATTTTCTTACCAAAGCATCAGCAACAAATTAAAAACTCTCTCTCTCTTCCATGTGCATGAAGTTGCTGGATTGAACGATTTAGGTCTTCAAACTTTTGATAGATACTAACAATTCTTAAAAAGCTGGTACCCTTTCATATGACATCAGTAGTGAGAGTCATGTCTGCTTACCTTCAGGCCTTCACTCCTGCCTGTTGGCAGACTTTGGCAGATCGACTGTGGTGTCTCATTGTTTTCGCTTGTATGCGTATAATTATGACTAAAGTTGAACATACTTCATACATTCTTTTGGATTTCTTTTTATGGAAACTTCTCATTTAATCTTTTGACCATTTTTCCTGATAATTGTTGATCTTTTTTCTTGTTGATTCAAGGCTTTTTATTAAAAAATGTTTTTCTGTCTGTAGTCTTATAGGAAAGTTATACTGTGTGATATATCATTGCCATTGAATTTGGAACTGTATGGGGCTTTTCATCTCTTTATATAGCCTGATAATAGCTAAATGTGCTAAAAGAACAGATTAGAGATGAGTGTATTTAATAGTTTCTTTTTGAAACTGGTAATAGTTTTTAAATGTCTAATATATAATATGTCCTGAATAAAATATCTTGGGATAAATGAGTGACAAATGTAAAATTACTTTTTAGTGAAATTTGTTTTTCATAGTAGGAAATATTTTTTTCTTAAGAGTTTCCAGATAAAAATATAGGTTGCCCAGTTAAACCTGAATCTTAGATAAACAATGATTTTTTTTAAAAGTATGTCCCAAATATTGCAAGTATGTCCCAAATATTATATCATAGTAAGGAAACGTGACATATTGATTAGTTAAAAGACAAGATTGCTTTGTGGCAGTTTATAGAAGTGTGGGATTTGTGGCAGTCAAGAACATTTTTTAGAAGTTCCGCTTTGTGTAAATAGATCTCTGTATGTCCACACATAAATATGATTAATGAATTCTGTGAATTATCTTTTAACATTTGCGTCTTTGTCAGTTCTCTCAAGGTAACAGACTTTTGTGACAGCAGTTTATTTTCTCTCCCAGTATATTTTGCAAATACACTATTACACATTTGAAAGAAAAGACATGTTAAAAGTTTCCTTTTAGGCTCCTTATAATCCAGCCTCCATCAGCCAGTGCTCTTCCTGTATTTTGTTCACGAGGCACTAATTGTCCGCATTTGGCAGGTTTAACACTTCCTGACAGAGAGGCTATTAAGGGGAGGTATTCTCCAATAACTGTCACTGGCTTGAACAAAGAACCTTCAAATTCAATGTGTGGAAACCACTAACATTCTTAAATGACCCTTTTCATGGATTTTTATCCCTTTAAGCTAAAATTTGGAGAATGTAGGGTCAGCGAAAACAGCAAGGTATAATAAAGCAGTAAACCTTGATTTTTGGGAGAGTAGAGTGGGAGGTATAGATTTATCTCTGACTTGAAAACAATTGTTATTTGGAAAATCTCATTAGCAGATGTGACTGCTTGGAGTAAAAAAAAAAAAAAAAAAAAAAGACTTAAAACTGATGTCGCTTTCAGGACCACTTTGAACTTAACAAGCACCTATTTGTGGAGCAGACAGGCTAATGAAAGGAAATTAAATTTTTCTGACAACTTCCCCTGCCAACCTCCTTATTCAGGGGTTGTTATTAGGTACTGAAGACTTTTTAAGGAAGATTTTTTTTTTTTTATTAGACATAAATGAACCAGTTATAAACATCCCCCTCCCCTCCTTTTGGGGGAGGATTCTGACATGGTTACTCTACATTTTTAAATTACTAGCTTAAAAGCTTACAAAATACCAGGCTTCGCTTTAATATTTTAAAGCAATTTTGCCAAAAAATCAGGCATTCTCACTAGCTAATGGTTTCAAAACATTGTCATTTCTTGTGTAGTTTACATCTCTGAGTTGTAAAGAAAAGCCACATTTACTAGGGAGGCTTGGATTTAACACCTTTTCAGCTTTCTCCTTATTGTTCCATGGGGAAATGTATCCAGAGTGTCCTGTGCTCATGTGTTAGGTGAGAGTTAATGATCAATGAAATGGTTTAGATTTGAGGGAATGTTTTCTTCTGTCAGTTGCATTGGTTGATATTTAGTACTAATTAATCCTTATATCCATCAACTCTTACCTTGTACTTCTTTGAGAGGCATTTGCTTTCCTTGGCTTTTTCGAAGTTTACCCCCACAAGTTGGTTCATGGAATTTAAGGTTTTAAATTACATAACAAAATGTACCTAGTAAAGATAAAAATATGTACCTGAGAAAAGGATGGAAAGAAAAGGAAAAAGTAATGAAGACTACTAAAGGAATTTTTTGGGGGGGACAATTGGCAATTTCTGTAGATACTGCTGAAAATTTACTTTTTGTTTCTAGAAAATCATGAGCCTCTCCCAAACAATAGAGAATCAACTCCCCCTGCTGACAGAATCCAGGAAAACATGACGTGTAAATATCAGAGGGACAGAAACAAGCTGGCTGTAGACAAGCTTTAATGATTTGATTTATGATTCAGTATTGATTGTAAACATCTAAATTCTGCTGTTAAATTCCAGCAACTGCACCAAATCATTGGCAATTCTGGTAGTGCTTCCTGCCAGCTAATTTCAAACTGCTTTGAGTTTCTTAATATAATAATGATGAGGTAGAATTTACATTCCACTTATGGTATTAATTTTACATTTCTCTGAGTGAAAAGAGGTAGAAGGTTGTAAAATTGAACATTAAATGAATCAGAGGAGACAGTAGTGCAATATATGACTGCCCTAAAGACATTGTGCAATGGCTGATGGGATTAATGTTGGATCTCATTTCCTGCTTTTACAGGATGCAGATGAAGCTGTCAGAATTGCAAGGGAAATTGGTAAGTTCTTAAATTAACTTTGTTAGAGTTTCTAGGTCTTTCAGCAGAAACGGTTGAGTAAACATGTAATAAGTAACCCCATAGAGCAAATAATATTTTAATACTTTTAGAATTTTGATTACTTGTCCCTTTGGAAGAATGTATCAGCTGAATTACCATGTTCTGTTATGAAACCGAACTTTAAAGAGTAATTTGATTTTAATTACAGCTCTTTTGTAAGTTGAAATCATGGGCTAGTTAAAAGAAGGAATTGTCTTAACTCTTGAGCTTGGATGTAATGTAAGTTTTATGTACTTAGTTGAATACAACTTATTAAGGTTAAAGACATAGGTGATTAAAATGAAGATTTCCTATTTGACAAGGCCCTTCAAGTTTTTACCTTTTCTTAAGATATTAAATATCACCTTTTAATAAGCTTGCTAGGAAAGAGAATGTGAGAAATCAGAACTGAATATTCTAAATTGGAGTAAAAGGTAAACTGAAGGACTGTTTTACTTGACTGTTTTAGGTACAGTTATACTGGGGCAGGGCTTACCAACTTTTTATTTTAAAAAATATTCCTATTGCTCATGACAACGATTTCTATTTTCAGTGTCTGCTAATTAAAAAAATGTATGAGGGCATATTGTTATCAGGGATTAGTAATGCTATTAAATAACTTTACAATTGTATTAAATACAGCAAATTAGTACTTGTATACATTTGACAGAACTTTGTAGGTATGTGAGAGAAATCAGACAATGCTTGGCAGTCAGGAAATTTCAGCATCTTAGTATCCCTACTTGGGTAGGGCCAAACTTTTCAGCATCCCACATTAACATTTCTTTAGTCCTGTTTTCTCATTAAGATTGATGACTCAGAATTATTTTTTTCACTGGGAGAGCATTTGATTTGGCAAAATTTACATAGGGGTGTATGTGTGTGGGTGGGTGGGTGTGTGTACACGTCTTATTTCTGAAAGTAACCAGTTGAGTTAGTAAATACATTCTTTACAATAGGCTCAGGCTAGCTTAACAGTTCTTCAGTGATCTGGAAAGTTGTTTGATTTGTTGGGTCCCTGTTTCTAGTTGGGGCTTGCTAAATTATTTTAGTTTGGCTCATGGTTAAGTGTGTTTTGTTGTTTATTTGTTTTACAAACATTGCTGCTACTGATGTAGATTTGGACTTAAGACCAGGTCTTAGAAAATCTTATTTTATCTGACTACAACATCTCTTCCTTAATCATTTCTTCAGACATACCAACATTTTCAAAAAGCATTTCAGTACTTCACAGAAGATTTGCTAGATTGTTGAATAAGTTGGACTACATGGAACTGATTTGTGGTTTATTCTTTGAGAAAATCAAAAGCATCTCTCTCAGGTTTGAAATCACTGGCATTCCTCACAGCCTAAGAGGCATGGAGCATACCTGCTGGCTTTTGAGGAGACTTTTTTCTTTTTTTTTTTTTTAATATTTTATTTATTTATTTGAGAGAGAGAGAATGAGAGAGAGCACATGAGAGCGGGGAGGGTCAGAGGGAGAAGCAGACTCCCCGCCGAGCAGGGAGCCCGATGCGGGACTCGATCCCGGGACTCCAGGATCATGACCTGAGCCGAAGGCAGTCATTTAACTGAGCCACCCAGGCGCCCTGAGACTTTTTTCTAAAGTAATTTCATTGTATACTCTTAGATTTAAAAAGTTGTCTTTCTGGTTCTAGTTTAGATAGTATTGTTATTAATTCCGTAATACTATTAGCACAATAGTATCTACTTTAAAAGGACAGAATGTTTGGAGGAATTTAGAGAAATGAAAGGGATTAGAAGAATATCATGAATTACACTGGCATGCCGTATTTCAAATTATGACTCTTCAACTCTTGAGCATTTCCTTTGTATAAATGGCAGGCTGCAGATTGCTTGCTTTCATGTCTTGTCTTTTACCTTTTTTTTTTTTTTTAAATCTGTGACCTTTAAAATAATCAGTTAATCATAATGGGACTCTGAACGGTTCTCATCACTTGGCTTTCCTCCCTTAATATTTTAATGCTGTGCTTACTCCCCTTTGAGCTTACTCCTGAGGTTACCTAATTCGATCTCAGGCTCTTTTCTTTATATTGAGGGATAACCTTTATGACTCCTTCCTCTTTCCTATCTTCTAATTCTTCTCCAATTATGCCTTCTCATTTGTGAAAGAAATGATCGTAATCATGGCTGTTAAGTGTCAGAGAGTTAGTGTTTTGCTTATGCTGAAAGGGAAGCCATAAAACTTTTGAGGTGAAATAAAACATAATAAAGAACCAGGGTCATCAGCTTTATAAAGCATTTGGAATTTCCCCGAAACCCCTTCTGAATCACCACGGAAACCTCCCATAAAACTTTTTCCCTCAAGTGCTAGCTTCTAAAATAAATGAAATTACATATTATTAGTCTCTTGATACTGTTTCATTTGGTGATTCATCAGTTTTGTTTTCTAATTTTATTGAGGGCTTTCACATTTTAACTACATTATGATTCTGATGGGCCTTTGTGAATTCATCTAAGAGTTAACTTAAACATTGATTCCACAGGAAAATATGCTCCTAGTTCTAAACAACTGAATTATAATCAAACCCTTGAACCTGTCCATTTATATGTAGCAGATTGCCCATGTCATATATACCTGTTTACAGATTTCTCTGCTTTACTTCTTTCTGTGTTACATGGAGAAAATAAATTGATTATCTTTTCTGTGGTTCCCTCCTCTCTTGTGTCTTCTCTTCTGGAAACAGGAATCTATGAGGCCGAAAGAGGAAGCTAACTGCCTTGAGCATTGATGAATTAGGTGTCTTTTACATAATAGTAGCTCTTGTTTAAGGAGCATTTTTTCCATGTAGCAGGCACTTTGTGACTGTTATTTCTAATGCTAATTCTTGGGTTAATTATTTCATTTACATTTAAGAAACTAAGGATTAGAAATGATAAGTAATTTGCTCAAGGTCACAGACCTACTGAGTGGTGGGCCTGCTTTAAATTTAGGTTCATTTAGTGCCAAAGACTATGGATTTTTCATTATACTTTTGCAAAACTAATGGGATTAGAGGATGAGAGCTAAAATTTGAGTCACCACTTTGTGTAAGATACTGTAATGCACTTAAGCATGTTATATGTGGATTTGAAGAAATAGCCTCTTATCATTGATAGGGTGAGAGACCATTAAAGCTTAATATGTTACTTTTGTGTGCTTGTTTTTTGGTCTTCCTTGTCTCTCTCATTCTCACTCCTGATTTTTTCCTTTGACCTCTCTAAGTTTAGAGATACAGGGCTATTGATCCCCAGTTTATCTTTAACCTCAGTGATAGACAACAGTAATCAGCTTGATTTGCATTAAAGTTTGATCTTTTTACTTGATCAAAGGTCTTCAGTACAATCAAACCGAATTGATTCCTAAAAAAATTGTAAACTAAAACCTGTCCTTTAACCACCTCCGGATCATTCAAATTCTTTTCTTTTGCCCATCTTTCTCAGAATCACAAGTCTTGCCTGATTTAAATAAAAATTTTTTTGATCCTCAGATTCACCATACTCTAAGCCTACTTCACCTGCAGTTTCTACATCTCAGCAAATGTCACTCCTTTTACTCAGTGGCTAAAGCTAAAACCCAAGATCTATCGTGGTGTTGTTGCCCTGTCATCCCATTGTCAATATATCAATAGATACTGTCAGTCCTTCATTCAAAATAACCTCCCATATTCATTACTCACTATCTTTACTACCCGTACTCTCTCCCAAACTACCATTGTCCTTGCAGGGACTGTGACAGCAGTTTCTCGACTTTTCTTAAACACTTCAGAGTCATTCTTCACGTAACTGTCAGTGTGATAGTTTAAAACTCCAAGCAATAAGGACACACCCCATCTCATCCCATCCCATATCTGCTTTAAGCCCTCTAATGGCTTTTCCTTGCATTTAGATAAAGTCAAAATTCCTTCCCCTGACTACAACCCCAAATGATTTGGCACCTGCCTTGCCCTCCAGTCTCATTTTAGACTACTCCCTTCATTGCCTGCTGTGCTTTAGGTACACTGGCTTTCTTGAATATACCAAACTTCAGAATCTTAGAGTAAGGTTTTTTTTGTTTTGTTTTGTTTTGTTTTTTTCGAGGGGGGGTTGAGGGGGCTCTTGAATACTCTAGCTGATATTTTCACACAGATGGCTCCTTGTAGCCTTTCATATATTGGCTTACATGTCATTTCTTCAAAAGAAGACACTCTCATACTGCCACTCAGTCATTCCTCTTATAACCATATTCTTAATCTCTGTGTAGATGTTTTTCTTGTTTGTTAACTTTTTCCTCTGTTATTTTGAAAAATTTCAATCATACAACATTTTGAAAGAATTTTACAGTGTGTACCTATATTCCCATCATCACGATTCCACTATTAATTTTTTGGAGATTTGCTTTATCATTTATCCATTTGTTAATCCATCTTGATTTTGGTGCATTTCAGAGTGCAGTTGCAGATATGTATCCCACTAAATACTTTAACATAGAATTATATGCATACATATATGTGTTGGACATGACTGTCACCCCAGAGAGTTCCCTCATGCTCCTTCCAAGTCAGTCCTCACCATTTTCCCCAGGTGCAGAGTCAGCTAGTTCTAAATTTTTATAGTAAAGATTCGATTTTTAAAAAATTGAGATAAAATTTCAATACTATAAAAGTCTTTCAAAGTGTGCAATTCAGTGGTTTTTAGTATATTCACAATGTTATGCACCCATCACCACTGTCTAATTCCAGTACATTTTTATTACCCCCAAAGGAATCTCTATACTCATTAGTATTCACCCCCTTCTGCCCTCCAGCCTTGGCAACCACTAATTTACTTTCTGCCTCTATGAATTTACCTATTCTGAATGTTTCATAAAAATGGCACTTTTTGTGTCTGGCTTCTTTCACTTAGAGTTGTTTTCAAACTTCATCCATGTTTTACCATGTATCAGGGCTTCCTTCCTTTTTATGACTGAATCGTATTCTATT